CTGCATGCTAGGTCGGCGTTCGATCCCCGATGGTCGAAGGGTTTGGGTACCATACCTTCACTCCGTCTTTACATCCATCCTCTTTAGTGTGCTTCGTATCCCTTCCTAGTGCTATATAGTGGTTTAGCAGTCGTCTCGTGATTGGCTGACCTTAAGATAAGACATGGCTTCCTTAAGAGGGTGTTTAGTGCGCGTCATAATTGGTGATTATGTATGGAACAACTTACAGGGCAGCAGTTGATGTTTGGCATCCCTTGTTTGTTTACACCCTGCCTCGTGTGGACCAATAGCAGCTGCCTCGTGTGGACCAATAGCAGCTGCCTCGTGTGGACCAATAGGAGCTGCCTCGTATGGACCAATAGGAGCTGCCTCGTGTGGACCAATAGGAGCTGCCTCGTGTGGACCAATAGCAGCTGCCTCGTGTGGACCAACAGGAGCTGCCTCGTGTGGACCAATAGCAGCTGCCTCGTGTGGACCAATAGCAGCTGCCTCGTGTGGACCAATAGCAGCTGCCTCGTGTGGACCAATAGCAGCTGCCTCGTGTGGACCAATAGCAGCTGCCTCGTGTGGACCAATAGCAGCTGCCTCGTGTGGACCAATAGCAGCTGCCTCGTGTGGACCAATAGCAGCTGCCTCGTGTGGACCAATAGCAGCTGCCTCGTGTGGACCAATAGCAGCTGCCTCGTGTGGACCAATAGCAGCTGCCTCGTGTGGACCAATAGCAGCTGCCTCGTGTGGACCAATAGCAGCTGCCTCGCGTGGACCAATAGCAGCTGCCTCGTGTGGACCAATAGCAGCTGCCTCGTGTGGACCAACAGGAGCTGCCTCGCGTGGACCAATAGCAGCTGCCTCGTGTGGACCAATAGCAGCTGCCTCGTGTGGACCAATAGGAGCTGCCTCGCGTGGACCAATAGCAGCTGCCTCGCGTGGACCAATAGCAGCTGCCTCGTGTGGACCAATAGCAGCTGCCTCGTGTGGACCAATAGGAGCTGCCTCGCGTGGACCAATAGGAGCTGCCTCGTGTGGACCAATAGCAGCTGCCTCGTGTGGACCAATAGCAGCTGCCTCGTGTGGACCAATAGCAGCTGCCTCGTGTGGACCAATAGCAGCTGCCTCGTGTGGACCAATAGCAGCTGCCTCGTGTGGACCAATAGGAGCTGCCTCGTGTGGACCAATAGGAGCTGCCTCGTGTGGACCAATAGCAGCTGCCTCGTGTGGACCAATAGGAGCTGCCTCGTGTGGACCAATAGCAGCTGCCTCGTGTGGACCAATAGGAGCTGCCTCGTGTGGACCAATAGCAGCTGCCTCGTGTGGACCAATAGGAGCTGCCTCGTGTGGACCAATAGGAGCTGCCTCGTGTGGACCAATAGGAGCTGCCTCGTGTGGACCAATAGGAGCTGCCTCGTATGGACCAATAGGAGCTGCCTCGTGTGGACCAATAGGAGCTGCCTCGTATGGACCAATAGCAGCTGCCTCGTGTGGACCAATAGGAGCTGCCTCGTGTGGACCAATAGCAGCTGCCTCGTGTGGACCAATAGCAGCTGCCTCGTGTGGACCAATAGGAGCTGCCTCGTGTGGACCAATAGGAGCTGCCTCGTGTGGACCAATAGCAGCTGCCTCGTGTGGACCAATAGGAGCTGCCTCGTGTGGACCAATAGGAGCTGCCTCGTGTGGACCAATAGCAGCTGCCTCGTGTGGACCAATAGCAGCTGCCTCGTGTGGACCAATAGCAGCTGCCTCGTGTGGACCAATAGCAGCTGCCTCGTGTGGACCAATAGCAGCTGCCTCGTGTGGACCAATAGCAGCTGCCTCGTGTGGACCAATAGCAGCTGCCTCGTGTGGACCAATAGCAGCTGCCTCGTGTGGACCAATAGCAGCTGCCTCGTGTGGACCAATAGCAGCTGCCTCGTGTGGACCAATAGCAGCTGCCTCGTGTGGACCAATAGCAGCTGCCTCGTGTGGACCAATAGCAGCTGCCTCGTGTGGACCAATAGCAGCTGCCTCGTGTGGACCAATAGCAGCTGCCTCGTGTGGACCAATAGCAGCTGCCTCGTGGACCAATAGCAGCCCTCGTGTGGACCAATAGCAGCTGCCTCGTGTGGACCAATAGCAGCTGCCTCGTGTGGACCAATAGCAGCTGCCTCGTGTGGACCAATAGCAGCTGCCTCGTGTGGACCAATAGCAGCTGCCTCGTGTGGACCAATAGCAGCTGCCTCGTGTGGACCAATAGCAGCTGCCTCGTGTGGACCAATAGCAGCTGCCTCGTGTGGACCAATAGCAGCTGCCTCGTGTGGACCAATAGGAGCTGCCTCGTATGGACCAATAGGAGCTGCCTCGTGTGGACCAATAGCAGCTGCCTCGTGTGGACCAATAGCAGCTGCCTCGTGTGGACCAATAGCAGCTGCCTCGTGTGGACCAATAGCAGCTGCCTCGTGTGGACCAATAGCAGCTGCCTCGTGTGGACCAATAGCAGCTGCCTCGTGTGGACCAATAGCAGCTGCCTCGTGTGGACCAATAGCAGCTGCCTCGTGTGGACCAATAGCAGCTGCCTCGTGTGGACCAATAGCAGCTGCCTCGTGTGGACCAATAGCAGCTGCCTCGTGTGGACCAATAGGAGCTGCCTCGTGTGGACCAATAGCAGCTGCCTCGTGTGGACCAATAGCAGCTGCCTCGTGTGGACCAATAGCAGCTGCCTCGTGTGGACCAATAGCAGCTGCCTCGTGTGGACCAATAGCAGCTGCCTCGTGTGGACCAATAGCAGCTGCCTCGTGTGGACCAATAGCAGCTGCCTCGTGTGGACCAATAGCAGCTGCCTCGTGTGGACCAATAGCAGCTGCCTCGTGTGGACCAATAGCAGCTGCCTCGTGTGGACCAATAGCAGCTGCCTCGCGTGGACCAATAGCAGCTGCCTCGTGTGGACCAATAGCAGCTGCCTCGTGTGGACCAATAGCAGCTGCCTCGTGTGGACCAATAGCAGCTGCCTCGTGTGGACCAATAGCAGCTGCCTCGTGTGGACCAATAGCAGCTGCCTCGTGTGGACCAATAGCAGCTGCCTCGTGTGGACCAATAGCAGCTGCCTCGTGTGGACCAATAGCAGCTGCCTCGTGTGGACCAATAGCAGCTGCCTCGTGTGGACCAATAGCAGCTGCCTCGTGTGGACCAATAGCAGCTGCCTCGTGTGGACCAATAGCAGCTGCCTCGTGTGGACCAATAGGAGCTGCCTCGTGTGGACCAATAGGAGCTGCCTCGTGTGGACCAATAGCAGCTGCCTCGTGTGGACCAATAGCAGCTGCCGCGTGTGGACCAACAGGAGCTGCCTCGCGTGGACCTCTTCTGGAGTATAGAGAGACAGTTTTGCTTAGTGCTGTCTCCGGGTAATTGGCCGCTGGGCACCTTGAGCTGTGAAGTGAAGGGAACACAGGTGCACTGTGTCATTGTACTGTGTAATGACACAGTGAGTACAATGACCATAGTGTCAGTACAATGACACAGTGAGTACAATGACCATAGTGTCAGTACAATGACACAGTGAGTAACAATGACCACAAACGTCAATAACACAACTGTTAGGGGTTGACTAGGCGGCCTAACCACAAACGTCCCAACCCACCCAACCCACCCAACCCCAGACACACAACACGTCATACTAACTGCACTTTAATTTTGGCTCGTACGTCGCATTTTTAACGTATTAGGAAAGAAACCCAATTTGCGTGGTATTAGCGAGCACGCCCACCACGCCCACGTGGGCGTCACGGGCGTCTCTACCTCTCTGACGATATTCAGTATAACAGTTCGAGGTGATTGACTTGTTAAGATGAGTAATGGAAACTGTCTGAAGAGTGGGGGGGGGGGGAAGGTTTGTTTCCCAAAGGGGGGGGAGTTGTTTCCCACGGTGGGGGGGGGGGAGGTGGTCGGGGGGGGGGGGGAGCTCTCCAGAACAACCTTTCGTATCATATAATTGAAGTTCAAATATGTTTGGTAGTCTTTAGATTGGTTTATTACACACCTGCAGTAATGTACAGGTGTGTAGTACCTGGGCGTGCCGCCCTGCACGGTCGCTGGTGAGTGTGAGCACGAACCAGTGGCCGTGCGCACGAATTAATGGATAATTGAGGGAAGGTACGAATATTTACACGTGTCGTTACTGTACCAATCCACCACCCTTGGTGTACTGGCCCCAGATTCACGAAGCAGTTGCGCAAGCACTTAGGAACCAGGGGCCAGATTCACGAAGCAGTTACGCATGCACTTAGGAACCTGTACACCTTTTCTCCATCTTTGGCGGCTTTATTTACAATTATTAAACAGTTAATGAGCTCCGAAGCACCAGGAGGCTGTTTATAACAATAACAACACTTGATTAGCAAGTAAACATGCTTGTAAACTGTTTAATAAATGTAACCAAAGCCGTCAAAGATTGAGGAAAGATGTGCTTGCGTAACTGCTTCGTGAATCTGGCCCCCTGGACTCAAGTTCTGCCGCGAGGGTAGCACCCCCCCCCCCCCCCCCCCCCCCCTCCCCCCCTCCCCCCTCCCCCGTCCCTCACACTTAGGGGGACCAAGGAGCCAGAGCTCAACCCCCCCCCCCCGCAAGCACAACTAGGTGAGTACACTACACTCCCCTGCAGTTGTGTTTGCATATAGTAAACAGTTTACCAGCTTGTGAACTCCACAACTCAAAGTTATTATTGTTTATGAACAGCCTCGTAGTGCTTCGTAGCTCATCAACTGTTTAATATATGTAAACACAGCCGCCAAGATTGTGAAAAAAGATGTAGAGGTTTCGTAAGTGATTAGGTAAATGTTTCATGGGGTCGTAGCATAAGACCGCGGGTTCCATATGGTTGAAATATCTTGTCTCAGACACGTCACATTCGTGTTCTTTCTTTGTATTCTCAAAGGTGCGTGATGCTAACGTGATTATTTCTCTTCCTTGTCCGTGGTGCGTGTGTCCGTGGTGCGTGTCCGTGGTGCGTCCCTCCTCCTCCCCCCTGAAAGCCTCGTACGGAGACCACGACGAGCCCTACCCCAGCCTCAGCGACTTCCACGACTACGAACCCAACTTGGAGTTCGACGACACCGAGCTGCAGAGTGCTAGTTCTGTTACTGGTAAGGTCGCCCTCCTCCTGGCCCTCATGCCTTGGTCCCTCATGCCCCGGCCCTCATGCCCCGGCCCTCATGCCTGGTCCCTCATGCCTGGTCCCTCATGCCTGGTCCCTCATGCCTGGTCCCTCATGCCCTGGCCCCTCATGCCCCAGCCCTCATGCCTGGTCCCTCATGCCTGGTCCCTCATGCCTGGTCCCTCATGCCCCGGCCCTCATGCCTGGTCCCTCATGCCTTGGTCCCTCATGCCCTGGCCATCATGCCCCGGCCCTCATGCCTGGTCCCTCATGCCCTGGCCCCTCATGCCCCAGCCCTCATGCCTGGTCCCTCATGCCTGGTCCCTCATGCCCCGGCCCTCATGCCTGGTCCCTCATGCCTTGGTCCCTCATGCCTGGTCCCTCATGCCCCGGCCCTCATGCCTGGTCCCTCATGCCTGGTCCCTCATGCCTGGTCCCTCATGCCTGGTCCCTCATGCCCCGGCCCTCATGCCTGGTCCCTCATGCCCTGGTCCCTCATGCCTTGGTCCCTCATGCCTTGGTTCCTCATGCCCCGGCCCTCATGCCTGGTCCCTCATGCCTGGTCCCTCATGTCCCGGCCCTCATGCCCCGGCCCTCATGCCTGGTCCCTCATGCCCCGGCCCTCATGCCTGGTCCCTCATGCCTGGTCCCTCATGTCCCGGCCCTCATGCCCCGGCCCTCATGCCTGGTCCCTCATGCCCCGGCCCTCATGCCTGGTCCCTCATGCCTTGGCCCCTCATGCCCTGGCCCTCATGCCCCGGCCCTCATGCCTGGTCCCTCATGCCCTGGCCCTCATGCCCCGCCCCCTCATGCCCCGCCCCCTCATGCTCCACCCCTCATGCCCCACCCTTCATGCCCCGCCCCCTCATGCCCCGCCCCCTCATGCCCCACCCCTCATGCCCCACACAACCCCTCATGCCCCACACCACCCCTCATGCCCCACACCACCCCTCATGCCCCACCCCTCATGCCCCACCCTCATGCCCCACCCCTCATGCCCCACCCCTCATGCCCCACCCCTCATGCCCCGGCCCTCATGCCCCACCCCTCATGCCCCACCCCTCATGCCCCACACCACCCCTCATGCCCCACACCACCCGTCATGCCCCGCTTGCTAGGGCTTGCCTGCTTCCCGCTCCTCCGGGTACTTCCTGCACGCCTCGCTACTAACTACAAGCCCAACTACTTCCCCTCGCCTTCCTACTTTCCGCACGCCGGGGACTACCCTCTGCTTGGCCGACTACCTCCCCGCTCCTGCTACTTGCCTCCACCCCCCCTCCCCTTGGCTACTTCCTGTATGTTCGGTTACTTAAAATCAACATTAAGGAAATTGTAGAAGACCTGTTGACCTATACCTGGCCACTCCTCTTTATATTCACCCTAACTCACTCATACTGTGTCTAACCTGCGCTTGAAACAATCCACGAATCCCAGGAATGTTGCCCGGCAATTTGTAGCATGAATCAATAACCCCATCTCCAAACCAGTATTTACCCAGGTCTTGTCTACATCTATTCTGCCGGGTGCCAGACACCTGGTGCCAGACACCTGGTGCCAGACACCTGGTGCCACCTGTCTTGTACGGCATTAACTAACAAGAATCTCATCATGGTGTGTGTGTGTGTGTGTGTGTGTGTGTGTGTGACCTCTTGCATGCTGAGAACAATGAGTCTGTGCTCCTGGTCTCCAGTGATTGCTGGGTCAAAGGGGATAGGAGGGGGGAGGGGGGGGGTAGCAGCATGCATGGCCCCCGTCCCCCCACCCCCATCACGTGCATGATTCCTTGCATGCATGCCTCTCTCCACAACAGTCTGCTTGTGCTGCAACTGGTTTGCAAGAGCACCATACTTGCACACTTTGAACCGTCGCAGCTAATGTAACTTTTAAGATACCTTGAGATGATTTCGGGGCCTAGCATCCACGCGGCCCGGTCTTCGACCAGGCCTCCATTTTGTAAGATGAGCGAACTGTTTTCTTATTTCTACGTATTCTGGGGCCTTGATGATGTCATTTTCAAGGCCATGATTCATCAGACTCTTGAGTAACCACGTACGAAACCTGTACATCTCAAACCTGACGGCTTGGTTTACCTGTAAACAAGTTTACAAGCTGAGATACAATTAGAGGTTCTGGAACCTAGGTTGGTATTGTTATAAACAACCTGGCAGCGTCTCCTCGTAAACTGCTTCATAAAAACACAACAGCACCGTCAGCGAGGAAAGATGTAGAGGTTTCGTTAGGGGAGAGGTAGATGGACGGCGGGTCCCGTTTGTTGTACCCAAGAAGCACACTGCTGCTTCTTGGGTACAAGGGCGAAGGGAAAATTGGTTTACAATGTGACTGGACCACTGTGGGTTTACTGTGTGGTGGCTGGACCACTGTGGGTTTACAGTGTGTGGTGGCTGGACCACTGTGGGTTTACAGTGTAGTGGCTGGACCACTGTGGGTTTACTGTGTGGTGGCTGGACCACTGTGGGTTTACAGTGTAGTGGCTGGACCACTGTGGGTTTACTGTGTGGTGGCTGGACCACTGTGGGTTTACAGTGTAGTGGCTGGACCACTGTGGGTTTACTGTGTGGTGGCTGGACCACTGTGGGTTTACAGTGTAGTGGCTGGACCACTGTGGGTTTACTGTGTGGTGGCTGGACCACTGTGGGTTTACAGTGTAGTGGCTGGACCACTGTGGGTTTACTGTGTGGTGGCTGGACCACTGTGGGTTTACAGTGTAGTGGCTGGACCACTGTGGGTTTACTGTGTGGTGGCTGGACCACTGTGGGTTTACAGTGTAGTGGCTGGACCACTGTGGGTTTACTGTGTGGTGGCTGGACCACTGTGGGTTTACTGTGTGGTGGCTGGACCACTGCTGAGTGGACAGAGGCTACAGTTAAGGATTGGCGCCCAGTCAATCCTCCCAGACCAGGATACGAACCCAGGCCACGGCGCTGGTGGGGCGAGTGTCTCACCACTCCGCCACAGGGTGTTCTTGGCCCGTAACACCTCTTAAAGCTCGGCCACGACTCACCACACCTTCACTACACGTTAACGAAACCTGTACATCTGTAGTGGATGACGGGGGCGGGATGACCTTAGAGAGGTTGTGAGCCGGGACGCTCCACCAGGCCACCTCTAACAACCTTGCTGTTATGGTTGGTGTTTACCACCACCTAAACTGCTTAGTGAATCTCGCCTCCATGTTTGAAACATGTGTTGACATCGTAAGTGCTTCTTGAATCCCAGTGTAGGATTATACCCAGATAATACTAGGTGGTATAGTGTTGATCTATCATGCTATTGGTGTTGGGTTGTTGTACCATAGAGGTGGGGAGTGTGTGTTCAATACAAACTCCTCTTGTTCAGTTTCCTCAGGGCCAAACTGGTGGCACAGTCTGCATTCCTGGTAGCTGGTTCGGGGCACTCTTGCCCTCCCGGCCCAGTCACGAGTCATAGGGTGGTGCCAGTGCCTAGGCCCTCTGTACTGGACTAATACATGGAAGACACGTCCTGGTCTGGTCACGTGAGGCGCAACACACCATGCTAAGGTTCAGAGGCTTCCCTCCCTGTCCCACACCTGTGGCGGGTACCTGGTTGATACCTGGTTGATGGGGTTCTGGGAGTTGTTCTACTCCCCAAGCCCGGGCCGAGGCCAGACTTGACTTGTGAGAGTTTGGTCCACCAGGCTGTTGCTTGGAGCGGCCCGCAGGCCCACATATACCTGGTTGATGGGGTTCTGGGAGTTGTTCTACTCCCCCAAGCCCGGGCCGAGGCCAGACTTGACTTGTGAGAGTTTGGTCCACCAGGCTGTTGCTTGGAGCGGCCCGCAGGCCCACATATACCTGGTTGATGGGGTTCTGGGAGTTGTTCTACTCCCCAAGCCCGGGCCGAGGCCAGACTTGACTTGTGAGAGTTTGGTCCACCAGGCTGTTGCTTGGAGCGGCCCGCAGGCCCACATATACCTGGTTGATGGGGTTCTGGGAGTTGTTCTACTCCCCAAGCCCGGGCCGAGGCCAGACTTGACTTGTGAGAGTTTGGTCCACCAGGCTGTTGCTTGGAGCGGCCCGCAGGCCCACATATACCTGGTTGATGGGGTTCTGGGAGTTGTTCTACTCCCCAAGCCCGGCCCGAGGCCAGACTTGACTTGTGAGAGTTTGGTCCACCAGGCTGTTGCTTGGAGCGGCCCGCAGGCCCACATATACCTGGTTGATGGGGTTCTGGGAGTTGTTCTACTCCCCAAGCCCGGCCCGAGGCCAGACTTGACTTGTGAGAGTTTGGTCCACCAGGCTGTTGCTTGGAGCGGCCCGCAGGCCTACATATACCTGGTTGATGGGGTTCTGGGAGTTGTTCTACTCCCAAAGCCCGGCCCGAGGCCAGGCTTGACTTGTGAGAGTTTGGTCCACCAGGCTGTTGCTTGGAGCGGCCCGCAGGCCTACATATACCTGGTTGATGGGGTTCTGGGAGTTGTTCTACTCCCCAAGCCCGGCCCGAGGCCAGGCTTGACTTGTGAGAGTTTGGTCCACCAGGCTGTTGCTTGGAGCGGCCCGCAGGCCTACATGTACCTGGTTGGTGGGGTTCTGGGAGTTGTTCTACTGCCCAAGCCCGGCCCGAGGCCAGGCTTGACTTGTGAGAGTTTGGTCCACCAGGCTGTTACTTGGAGCGGCCCGCAGGGCCACATACCCACCACAGCCCGGCTGATAGAGTGATGGGAGTGGGACTCGACTCCCACGCCATTATGGCTGTGGTATCACAGGGGCACGATGCACTCAACCACTTACGAAACCTCTACATCTTTCCTCAGTCATGGCGGCTTTGTTTACATTTATTCAACGGTTCATGAGCGCGGAAACTATTCGAATTTAGGTTATTATTGTTATAAACAACCTCGTGGCGCTTCAGTGATCGTAAACTGTTTTATAAATGTAAACACAGCCGCCATGTTTGTAGGAAGATGTACAGGTTTCGTAAGTGGTGGCGTAAATTCTTGATGAATCCTGC